CTTCTTTTTTTCAGCATGGAATAAACCTATTACTTGTTCCTTTGCAGCCTACGCATGCTGACGCAGCTACCCACCTGAACTAATATTATCACTTACACATGACCTGGACAGGATTCTGGTTGCCCAATTCTGAACATATTGGAGTTTGGTCAGTGTGGATTTAGATACCCCAGCAAATAGGGAGATACAGTGATCAATTCTAGAGAAGAAAAATGTTTTGGAAGACAACATAGGATGTAGACTGTCAGTGTTTCTGAGATGGAAGAATGATGTTTTTACAGTAGTCTGAACTAGAGGGTCAAAAGTCAAGTCAGGATCAAATATCACCCCTAAATTCCTCCTTTTGCTTGAAAGTCAAGCACAGTGCCCGTCCACAGACAGGTTAATGCACTGTCTTTACGTAGGTGATGGAGGGTGCTGAGTAGCACAACCTCAGTCTTGTCACAGTTCAAGTGAAGAAAATTTGTATGAGTGTTTTTTTTTTAAACAGCTGCTGGGGGAACACTTACCCTATACTGAAATTTTAAACCAGTGTACCATAAGCAGGCAAATAAGCCCTGGGAGAAAACGTCCACAATGTTTCTTCGTTTTGTTAAGCCCGAGCAGTTTGATTTTTAAACATAAAGATATCTGGCACACAGAAAACATAAAATCTCTTCATTTTATGAATGCTCCCATTTTCAGCAGCTGACTGATCTCAAAAGCTCACCCAGCTACTTCTCCAAAAGACTACAGCACATGGGCGCAGTACAGTGTGACCCGGGCTCAGCCTCTGCCCACACTGCTCCACACACATCCACATGTCCACATGGTCCTGACTTGAGCACCATAAACCACCTCGTCTCAGAGCACCCCCCCACTCAAACCCGAACCCTTAACCATTTCCCCGAGTCCCACAGCAGCCCAACCTCTATCCCTGATGAAAGAGTGCAGGCCCCAGGCGGCGTGGAATTTCAGACAGTCCGCAAGGACTGGTAATTGGAACCTATCATTTGTGCTTTAAAAATATATAGCTAATATTTTGAAAACAACTAGTTATTTTTAGGGGTTCCAAAATAAATGGTCAGTTTGTTGTACAAATGAAAATTGATTTAATGCCATAATATGTTCCCCTATGGTAGGTGTACGTAACTGATCTTTGCTTAGATGAATACAAAGAAAAAGATTTTAATATTTACTCTTAAAACTAAAGTTGTTTCTGCCGAGCATGGCTTATAAGGAATTCTGTCCAGCAAATAAATAAAATGCAGAATAAATATGGATATGTACTGGTCTGTCTCATGCTTTCCAGTCCCTGTCTCCTCAAAAACAGCCCTTCAGCTGAGAGGTTGTGCAACTTTGATTTGTCATCCAGGGAACAAAAATGAGGTGATCACACCACCCAAGCAAAATGAAACTGGTTTACAAGATAGCTACGTACGCCTTTTGTAAATGACAAACACACAGCAGACACAGGCACCTGAGTGCAGTGCCCAACAGCAGCCGGGGAGGCCAGCCTGTTCTGCCAAAGAGAGCAGCAGGATGGCTTCATCTCACACTAGTGGCCCCACGCCCACAGCGAGCTCTGGGCACTCCCTGACTTCCAGAAACAGTATCGGACAAACCAATCTGATCAATCTCTTTTGTGCTTTTCATTCTCTTAACAAACGCATGCTCTACTCCTGCAGCCCCAGAGAGAAGTGGCACTGATGAGGCCAGAGCGTGGGTACTGACATGTGACCCAACCAGGTGGGCTTGCAGTAGGTCTGACTCTCCACTGCAGAGAAGCAGAGGGGAAGGCAGCAGAGACACAGCAGTCCTGCACCTGAAGAAAAGTGTTCCACGTAGTGTATGCCAGACTTCGTCCACCACTGGAAGCTGCTTGAACCTAAATGAGGTTCTGTATTTTTTTACAAACCTTGTTCTTCAAACCACAAACCACTGCGGCTTGTGCGGAACTCCACACAATCTCAGAGGCAGCCAGTGTTCTGCTCTGCAAGCGTTCCTATTTTCGACTCCCACCCTGCCCCCCAAGTTCAATCTTCCAAATTTTCCCCAAAGTCCACTGCAATGAAGCACTTGTGAGGATAACGAGAAATCTGCCTAAGCAGCACCAGTGCTCAACAGACTTTATGCTGCAGTGTGAGTGTAGCTCAAGCATGTGTTCCTGTCGATTCCCTTGCAGCCCTGCTGTCATAGACTGCGTTCACAGACGTATGATCATCAGATGCCCTGATCTATTTATAGGCCCCAGTCTAGCGCAGACAAGGTATAATGGGATAATGTGCCCGAGTTCAGCCCCTGCTCTGAGTGGGCCAGGAAAGTGCACGGACGTGCCCTTATTCTCTGGTACAGGGGCTGTGCTCTGGAAACAGATTCTGCCATGATAATGCCACCGATTATAGATCATACACCACAGGCAGGTGGGCACTTCAGTTCTTCAAGGACTCCTTGTGAATCATGATAACGCAAAGAGATTTATAAAAAAAGAAAAACAGGGCGATACCACGGTTAATGATTTACAAAAGATTTGATCGAGTTATTTAATTCCCTCTAAAAGGACAATGAGCAAACAAACAGCCAAATCTTTGTTACTAGATGCATAATTCACTTGCTTTTCAAGAATTTCCCAACAAAAATAGCCAAAAATAAAAAATTACAACTCAATGTAAAGTTTTAACTTTTTGAAAAGGGCTCCATATTTGATGTTAATACCCAATGTCATTTTCATAGATTAATGGGAATTTGTTTTACATTTGTTTTGCGACATTTGCTCTGCTTTTATCATTACAGGAGTAAAACAAATCGTTTTCTTGGAGGCGATGCCACGAAAAACTTAACTGCAGTAGCTACAAATAAAACAGGCAAAACCTGCTAAATATAAACTGTCTGCCAGATATGCAGCTGACTCAAGTCCGACCTGTACTGATTCGCTGCTACAATGAAGGAGGAGATTCCCTCTAGATCAAACCAAGAAATATTCCAACGGTACGTCTCAGATCTACCTTCGGACAACTGAGCAGATATTCTGAAGGGGGTATTTTTACTGTGTAATATATACAAATGCAAAGTGACTTGTGAAGGAACGCTCTGTATTGAAAAGTATTATATTAGAATAAAACTGATTGTTTGGATTACCACTCTCTAGGCATTTTTTCCCACCACCATGCCCATCTGATTATCTATTTTTACAACTATAATACCAACGCAAAGGGATTAGCGTTAACCTGCCTACTGCGGATTAACACCGGTGAAACACTGCTTGTGTTGAACAGTACCAGGACTCACTCGTGGAGTGTGATTTTACAGAACCCGCACTCCAATCTCGTTTCATACACCAACAAGTACATTTGTCGTAAGAATGATTTATGTTTAACAAAGTTTTATAACACTATCTTTTGTGTTTTTAGTTAAATTGAAAACCCTGAGTTTTACATATCTGATACTTTCAAGCTCTCTTTGGACTGTTTGTTGGCAGTCTAATTTTTCAGACTACTGAAAAGGTTTCAAAGGAGAGGCCACTCAACCCTAGTTGGGCTTGCTAGAGCCAGCCTCTCTTGGTCGCTGGATCCGAGAACCTCGTCCTTAGTTTGGGTCAATATTCACAGCGCTAAATTCTCTTTCGTTATAACTGCGGAGCTCGCAACCGAAAGAAGCAATAACTTCTAATAAAATGCCATCAGGATCGTCCCTGAAGAAACTTCTCTGTTCATTTACACTGTGGACACTGCAGACCACACACGCCACACAAACACTAGCCGGCCACCCCTCCGACCCACAGCAGGCACCCGCACAGACTGTGATCGTCATGTACCGATGTCAACGAATCGCCCGATACACGCCTTCCCACAGGACCGAAACAGCATTATGGCTCACGGTGACGGCGGACCCCAAATGCTGTAAGCAGGAACAGTATCGGGGAAGAAATGAACCGTGACTGAGGCATACCGCACTACCTGGAAGGAGAAATGTAAGGCAGAGGTCAGCTGATCCTCTGCCCGCAGCGCTGGGCCGGGCCGGGCCGGACCGGACCCGCTCCGGCGCAGTCCCACGCGTGCCCGCACCAGCGCAGCGCAGATCCTTCAGCGCCAGGCATGCCATTGATCAGGGGATTACTGTGTTGTCGCTGGAAGCGAGGACGGCGGGGCGATTTCGCGATCAGATCGTGTCGGGACATGCCATAACACAGTGCATAAAGATATTTATATATACCATATTGTACGGGCATATGTATATATTAAATACCTAGGCAAACGCTGTAGTAGATCGACTGTTCGGCAGTCGTAAAATACACAATCAAACAGCTGCATGTTGTCTACAGTAACGTTGCGGTCTTAGGCGTGACGGCCGGTGCGCCGGTACAGTGGGAATCCTGCAGCAAGAGCGCTGCGCCAACAGCGCCTCCGACGCGCACAGACAGCCCTCTCTCTCCTACCTGGGAATAACAGCGGCGAGGCAAATTCTGGGGCGCAGCTCCCAATCTCTCGCTCCACCCGACTGCAGAATAAATCCCTCAGAAATCCACTTGCTTTGGGGTCGCGCTAGAGGAAAACGCTCTCTCCCACATCACCCTGGTCGCTCACTGCGGCGGACAGGACGAAGCGCCTGGCTGTGAATGAGCTGTGGGGGGGGGGGAGGGATGGCCGACGCCGTCACTGAGCGCGCGCCCGTGGGTACGTGCCTGCGCACGACACGGAACAGCGGAAGTGCGCTGCGCGTACTCGAGGGGAGTGGTGTTTACCACGCGTTTCGGTGACGTTGTGATACAAAATAACACAGCTTGAATAAGGAAATAAAAATGGAAATGACTTTGTAAGTGGTCTTTCTAAGATCAGTTGTATTCATGTTCGTACAGGATTGTGTACACCCCCAGCTAGTTCTACCCTGCTGTACTCGTCGCGTGTTGGTGACGTAGCCTCAGACCCTAGCCGTGACATTGCGGGAGCGTGGAGCGGGGGGAAAGGGTATGTTGTGCTGAGATCGTATTCAAAAGCTCTTAATATTTACTGCACTTTCGCTTTCTTGGCTGTAGAGCATTGCCTCGTTCTTATTGTGAGTCGTCGGGGTTGTAGTCTCAAGTCCCATAGGGTCGAAAGCCAATGTAAACGCGACGGGAAGAGTTACAGCAGTGATGAATAAGTGTTAGTTAACTAAACGCACGATTCTTCTAATAGAAACGCGATAGGAAGTTTATTAAACTGTACCTGTCTTTTGGAGAATAGCTATACAAATAGTTGAAATGAAAGAAAGTGGTAATTTCTGTAGAACACGGCTTGCTGAAGTCGGTTGTCCATGTTCTCGTTTAAAAAGAAGCTGCTTTGATTTGCTGTTATCTACTATTCGTAATGGTCGGCTGAATTGTGTCGAGTGTTGCCCGCTCGATCATTGTGGTACAGGGTTGTCTGTATTGATGTGCTTCTGCTATTTATTTCAGGCAGCTATGACACTGGTGAAGGGAATCGGTTTGCTTCTCACGCAGGCGTCTGGAAAATTACAGCAGAGTGCTTTCAGGTACTGTATTTTATTAGCTACCTTTTTTCATGGTTAAAAATAACGAACTCGAATAAAGTTACTTGCAGCAGAATTCAAGATTGTGACAAAGTTCGGAGCATACCTTCTCCAGCTCTTTTCAGGGACATCAATTCGGATCGTCCGATTAGTCTATGTAGAGCATATCTTTCGGATCAGCTATTATTCCAATAGATTAATTTATACTTTTCCAGTTGGAACTAATTTCTAGAGTCGCAGTACACATTTTGCATCACGGTGACCAAAACTGAGTCACTTGAAGTGAACTGAATTTACACACCCTCCTTCGATTTGTAGAGTGCTTATTGTACTACATACAGTGCCCTCCAAAGGTATTGGGACAAGAGTTCAAATTAGTGCATTATAGCTGTATTCTTAGGAAATTTGGATTTCAAATCCTATAGCTATTTTTATGCATAAATGTTTTACCATTCTACAACAACAGCACTTTTTTTTTCAATCTCCATATTTTAGATGAGCATAAGTATTGGGACAAACAGGTTTACAAGGGTTTTGTAATTGCCAGGGGGTTCCAAGCTCCATACATTTCACACACATAAAAAACCTGTGAAGGTCTAGGCATAGTTGAGGTCTTTTGGAACTGCTTCTGAAGTCTTTCACTTGAATTAGTCAGAAAACAAAACAACGTGAAGATCAGATAACTCACTATGACAGAAAAGGAGGACATTTTGTAAATGAGAGGAAAGAAAATGACCATCAGAGAAAATTAAAATGTGCAAAATCAATAATCTGGAATGCTCTTAAGAATAAACTAAACAACTGGAGCAGTCAAGAAAAGGCAGAGAAGAGGGCATCCAAAAAAGACAAATGCAGTGGATGACAGAAAAAAAAAACAAATTACTGTTAGTGAAATAAAAAAATAATCGCCAGTGTGTGGATGCAAGTCTTAAGTACGACAATCCCCAGAAGGCTTCACCAAGAAAAGTTCAGAGGCTGTACTGCAAAGTGTCAGTCTCTCATCAGCAGCAAGAACAGGAGAACTCGATTGCAAAAAAGTACAGGGATGAGCAACAGAGTGCTGGAACAAGGTTTTATGGGTCGATGAAACCAAAATAAACATCTATCAAAGTGGTGAAAAGGCTAAAGTGTGGAGAAAAATGGGAACAGCCAATGACCATAAGCTTACCACATCATCAGTAAAGCAAAGTGAAGGAAGTATCATGGCTTGGCCATGAATGGCTGCTCCTGGAACAGGCTCCATCATCATTATTGATGACTTAACTGAAGATGGCAGCAGTAGGATGAATTTAGAGATAAACTGATATTGTCTGCAAATGTAAGAAAAAATGGCACCAGATTTATTGGGCTGCAGTTCATTGTGCAGCAGGACAATAACCCGAAACATACTGCATGCTTAACACAGGAGTTCATCAGACAGAAAAAGAGGAACATTTTAAACTGGCCCAATCAGTAAACAGCTCTGAATCCAATTGAGCATGCATTTGTTCAAAAGGAGACTGAAGGCAGAAAGCCTGACCAACAAGCAACAACTTTGTGAAAAAACAAAGTCTGGTGATGGCAGTGGGACAGAAGCTTGACGCAGTTATTGCGAGCAAGAGGTTTGCAACAAAATTCAGACTTTTTCACTTCTTTAATTTGCTTTAAGTCAAGTGTCCCAATACTTATGGTCACCTAAATTTTGGGGTACTGAACAACATATGCTTTGGTTGAAAATGTATTATCTGTGTTTGCTAGATATATCCTGAAAATAAAAGGTGACCTTTTGAACTCAGAATAATTTGTTTTATATGAATTTCAATTCTTGTGTATACAACAGGAAAATGCTGATTTTTAGGTTTTGGTCCCAATACTTTTGTATACGTGGGACATCCAAGTATTTGTTTTTTATCAGTTCCCCCAATTTCTTGGAGAAGAAAAACAATTTTCTCAGGTTGTCTTCATGTTTAGTGCCGCCTGTTTCATACTGATAGTGTTTATTACCGTACTTTGCATGTAGCATGTTGTTACTATTCATTGTCCTGAATTTGCTAGTTGTCTGTCCAGCCTAACTTGCACGCAGATACAGACCTATTGGATAGCAGACAGGTTTCTTCAGCTGCTGACTCCTCTGCAAGCCCAAATCAAGCACTGGATATTACAACATTCTTGCTGAGTAGATTTGCATACAGCCCACAAAGTCAAAATATTGTATTAAACAAGTTGCTTATCAGCTTGATCAGAATTGTGCTCATAAGAGCACACAGCTTGTAATACCTGTTAGACAGGAGCAGTCTTATTTTTTTCCCTTACATTCCCCACCAGTCTCTCTGCAACCTGTGCTGCTATTCAGAAGATGACTTGCGTGCGCGTGGTGGACAACAGCCCGCTGGGGAACACTCCCTATCACCGGCCCCCGAGGTGCATTCATGTCTACAACAAATCCGGTGTTGGCAAAGTGGGGGACAAGATCCTTCTCGCCATCAAAGGGCAGAAGAAGAAAGCGGTCATTGTCGGCCACAAGATGCCGGGGTCACGGATGACCCCCCGTTTCGATTCCAACAATGTGGTTCTGATCGAAGACAACGGGAACCCGACCGGAACCAGAATCAAGGTGCCTCTGCCCACACACCTGCGCCAGCTTGAAGGAGAGTACTCCAAAGTATTGGCCATTGCCAACAAGTTTGTGTGATAAACTGGCTGATTGCCGATTTACTATGACTTAGAAGCACTGTTTGGTAAGGGAGAGGCTGAACGACTCTCGGATCTTTGAATAAAAATAAAAACCAGGAAACTTTCTGGGCTATGGACTCTTCTCAATCAAGCCAAGGAATTAAGCTTCATCAGATTGAGTGGAACTTTTTAAGTGTTGTAGAGCTAAACAGGAGCTCACTACATGTGAAATATTGATGGAATCATGACTTTTATAAAATAAGGGAAAGCTTGTCCATTTCAGCGTGACTGATTTTTCAAGTTGAGAGCTGAGGGAGAGCTACGCTGCAGCTGCCTGTGTGCCAGCTGAGCTGATAACATTTAAGATAACATTTTACTTGATCTGGCCTTTGTTAAAATCTACTTTCAGATATTGTTTCCATACATTGCATAGGGGAGTGAATTACCACTAGGAGGCCTTCGTGTTTTAGATTACTTTTTAGGAAAAAGTGTAATTGACTTTTCTATTATCCAAAACAATAGGTTTTACAATGTTATTTCTTCAGTTATATCCATGCATGGTAAAGGTGCTGGCAATCCAGGGCTTTTCCCATTTTATCGGGAACCACACCCTGAATGGGATGCCTGTCCGTTGCAGATAAACCAGCCGTGTGTTTGTGGGGAAAATGGAGAATCACATGAGCTCCTGGAGAACATGCGAACTCCAAAAAGAACCTGAGACCCACAAAAGCAGCAGCAGCCCTGGTCTCCACAGCTCTGTTCTGGCATTCAGTTTATACAGCACCATTCTTAGACAAGAAATGACCACATTAAAGAGTAGTTAAAAACTAGAGTTCAATAGCAAGTGTTAAATACAGGATTTGAAAGTGCTGACTGACTTGCACAATCAGGTATAGGTTGGGAGATCCTTTCAAAGTCCTGGAGCAAAAGTACAAAAGGCACTGTCTCCAGTATGTGGAGCCTTGTGTTGGTAACCTGGAAGATTGCAAGTGACATGAAGGTCATTATTTCACTAATGTAGTCAGGATAAAGACTGCTCAAGTGCTTACAAATGAGCAGGAAATTGACATTTATATTTAGGCTTGCAATATAAAAGAAACTACCAAAAAAAGGTGGTCAAATACAGACATTAATTTAAAAACCACAGAAAGCAATAAAGTAACATAAGCATACTGAAATAAAAAAATGTATTACATCAAAGGAAAAACAAATATAATTAAGTAAATAATCACATTTATTTATTACCTGAAATGTTAACTTTATTAAACCTGAAAAACAGCCTGAGATGTACCTCAATCAAACAAGAGTAAAGGTAACACATATATTGTAAGAACCTACAGATATAGGCTTAAACATGTAGTACGATGGTACTAATAATGGTACTATAACCAACCCATCAGTTGTATAAGTACCCTTTGGAATCATTGTACAGACCTACTGCTGAAGTCTCGCATGTTTCATGTCTGCCATGATTTTACAAAGCATCACACATTTGCAACTTCTAAGATCATTCATCAGGCCATTTTTACTGGAGCACTATAAAAATACTAAATGAATCCATTACAGAGTAATAAGAACGCAATATAACATCACAGGTGGATGTGAAATACTGTTAAATAGGGAAAGGAAATGGTCTTATGAGCACTTTGAACTGTCATTTTTTTCCCCAAAAGTGCACCTGCCATTCTCTGCAGACCAGGTGCTTAACGCCAGCCTACTTCTTTCCTTTGGCAGGCTTGGCGAACAGGCTGGGGTCAATCTGCTCTCTGGCCAGGCCCCTAACAGAGAAGAGCCTGGCTGCTCTCTCCGGCAGGGTACCCCCACACTTCAGCCCCAAGTGCATCAGCTCCGTCTTCAGTCTCTCCAGGCCCAGCCCCTCCAGCTCTGTCACACTGCTGAACAGCAGAAGATCCAGAGGCCCCTCATCCTAATTAGGGACAGATAAGTGATTAGTCAAAAGCTACAAGTCATGCAACAGTTCAGAACAGAACAAAAGGCTAGAAGCACTGCATCCCACCCACACTTGATCCAGTGAACTCAAAATTTATACGATGGAAATAATCGTGTACTTACAGCAGGCTGCGTGGCACTGCGCTCAGACTCTACATGTGCTGTTTTTATGGGCTGGGTCTCCTTCTGCTCTTCCACTGCACCACTGCTTGTTCCCGTGGACTCTGCTTCTGGCCTGTTCGTCTCCGTTTCAGCCAGAAGCTCTACTGCGGCCTCCTTCTCTGGTTGCTCCGGGCTGGACCGGGGGGATGCAGGCTCAGGGCTGGAGGTGGAGCTGGATTCCACCCCACACCGGGCTGGACCTCTCCGAGTAGGGCTGCCTGCTGCACTTGAGCTCACACCAGATGTGGACGGAGAGCCCCCTTCCTCCTCGCTAGCATCACTGTCATCTTCTGAACTCCCCAGCTCCTCCAGCCCATCCACCCCTGTCCTGCAGGTAGTAGTAGGCAAGCACAGTGCAATAAGACAGAATTACAATTTTGTAGATGACTGCAGAATTGTAATTAAGACTAACTATATAAAACCCTAAATAAATCTTAAATGATCCTTCAGAGCCACCAGACTTTTTTCACTTAATCTGAGTGGTTAGCTACAATCATTGATCAGCCTAAATTACAAGGGTTTAGCCTTTTGAAATCTAAAGTCACTGTAAAACAGATACATGATAGCTTTCCAGAACCAGGAGCAATCATCCACAATATAAAGAGCTGTTAAGGCATGACATTAATTAAGCAAGAAATTAACGCTATTGAATGCAAATTAAAAAGGCTTCAATTACAAACAATTAAAGACTTAGACAAAATGGAACATTGCATCAAGTCACATATTTATATCATTTCATGGTTAAGCTGTATCATTTTGCCTTTATTTAGAATAGTTCAATATTGGGCCCTCATCTGTCCAGTCCTGTACAATCACTGGTTTTAAGATTTTGTAATCTAAATATATTTCTATTTTCTAAGTATATTGATCATCAAACTGCATAGAAAAGTACCCTACTTGCTTAAACCCCATTATGAGCTATCACAAAGCATCTACAGCTCTGAGTCCAGTGAACAGGCTTTAAAAGCAGGTTTTGAGTTAAACGGGATAGAACCTCACAAGACAGCATCTGCAACCTGGTGCAAAGCATGAATCACAGATGTACAGCTTGTATTGCTTCCAGTGGCACACACACTATTAGACTGACTTCCACTGTGAAACGCTGCTTTTCTGCTGATGATAAATGTTAATCATCATAATCAATTAACATTTAATTTAAATTTGTTCATTTAAATGTTAGTGAGCCTGCAAAAATAAAGATTTCCGTCACTTTCAAATGAAGTTTGTGAATATGAGCGATGTTTCTTGTGAAGCAACATGATGCGTGGAGACCCTGAAAGATACTAAAACTGATCTAAATGAAGCAAATCATTCACAGAACCAGCTACAGCAGGGATCAAGTTTGCACACAATTGTTCCAGTTTAACAGTCAGGTCATACCAAAAACATATCTTCTTGCGTGATTTCTGTTGTTTGCTTGATGTGGGTCTCTTTCGACTGCAGAAATCTTCTGCCTTCACCACTCCGCTAGAAGATGCCTGCATACCTTCAAATGGAACACAAAGCACAGTATAGCTAATGGACATGGTCTGGGTTAACTAATACAATGACAAAGTTGAGATTAGTCTTGAAAAAGAGAACACTGTGAGTGGACCCAGTTCAAATATTCAAAATCCCCAGAGACATTGGCAAAGACAACCTTATGGCCAGGGGAACCACAGGACACAGGTGAACAGTGGTGACAGTGTACCAGGACAATCTGGGAGTACCCTTTAGGACGGAGTCCTCCAGGCGCTCGGACATCTCGTGGCACTGCTGCTCGTAAGTGGGGTCAGTGAAGTAGTGCTTGGGCTCGGCCAGCTTGCGCTGCAGCTGCTCCAGGCGGCGCTGCTCCTTCTCTGCCTCGCGCTCTGCCTGTTTCTTCAGCCACTCGGCCATCCTGCACAAGCCACAGTGCCAACATCGTCACCACTGGCAGTTCACAGGGGCCGACTGCAACACCTGCATGGCCCTAACAGGACTTGGTGACCACAAAGGGTGATTCTTTACGCAAAGAGTGGTGGAAGTATGGAACAAGCCACCCAGCTGTGATACCAAAATGTTACACGACCCCTTTTGAAGAAACCAAACAGCAGATGAGGCCAAATTGCCACCTCTCATTTGCAGACCTCATGCTCATCAGTTTCATGTGCTCTCTTCCTGGCAATTAAATCTCACATTTTTACAGGAGCCATCTGGTACATTTTAAACAGAATAGCATTAAAAACAGAAAAATACTATGAAAACTGATTACTGCATGGATTACTACTATAGCTATAGTATGTACCTTTATTAAAGACGGGCATTACAACAACCACTTACTCTTTCTCATGATTAACATCTCGAAGACGCCTCCCACTCAAATCCCTGCAGGCTTCACGGTTTGTCGTCTTCTCAATCTGCGCCCCCAGAGCTCTCAGCATAGACCCAAAACCTGTCACACACAGTCACACTCATTACCGTACGTGAAACCAATTCACAAGAAATACTGTCTTGATCACAGTATAGGAAACCACTAGAACACTCCTGTAAAACCACTGAGCTACAGTGGACTCTGATTAATTGTCCTTGAATTCATTGCAAACCCTTTCATGAGAATTCTCAGTTACTTTACAGAGTTTATTTCTATGTGTCACTAAGTATCCCAGACAGAGGCTTCGCAGGAAACAACTTGTCAAGGTCTAGGAAATGAGTAAATAAAGAATGCTTACACTTATATAGTGCTTTTCTGGACACTCCACTCACAGCACTTTACTAGTGATGGGGACTCACCTCCACCACCAATGTGCTGCCCCACCTGGATGATGGGAAGGCAACCATAGTGCATACAGTATGCTCACCACACACCAGCTCTCAGTGGGGAGCAGAACAGAGTGATGAAGCCAATTCATATAGTAGGGACTTAAGTAGTCTTGTAGAGCCCAAACCATGATGATTTTATCAAATCACCTCTTTTAAACAATTTTCTAAGACCTGAAAGTAATTGTTCCTTTAAGCAAGTATTTAACTCTATTAAAGGAAATTTCTTCTTGAGTGATGAAAGGTATTTCAATTGTTGATCTACATGATTTCTTCATTCATTTTGCAATAATACCATATGTAATTTTTCACAGTTTCTAAATATATGGAACAATTTCACTGAGTTGTGTGTGAAATCTGGGGACCCCTCATATAGAGGCACAATGTTCTCTGGCATTTAGAAATATAGCATTAATAAGACTGAGACCGTTCCTCTACCCAACTGCAGACTAAAACAAGAACAGGTTTGAGAAACCTTTTTTTTTGCATTACAAGAGCAAATGTGTTTACACAGTTTGCAAAATAAAGTCCTTTACAGATTTAATGACAAACATACATCAACACTTGCTCTCAAATACACAACAATTATGACATATACATATTCTTAGAGTATTTAACACTATGGAAACCAACAGGAACTCTGGCCTGATGAGTCTCTAGGATCGAGTGAGAACTTTGCTACTAATACTGCTGTTATACTTCCAGTTAAATATTAAAAAAAGGTCAGTTACCTACCTCCTTTCCCTCCGCAGAGCCGAGGCTCCAAGCGATATACCTGTCCAGGCAACAGCCTTTCATCCTGGTCAGCCAGTCGCCCATTGCTCTTAACGTAGAAATCAGCCTCAGGGATACCCTACCAGACACATAGACTCCACTGAAAATAGGGACTAAAAGACACTAAAATAACATAACTGATCAAATCCATCTGATAGCAAACAAGCAGATTCAGTTTCTCTCAATGCTGAGCACACCAAGACAACACAAAATATGAAATAAATGCATTATAACTAGAAAATAAGAAGTTAAATTGAATTTAAAACATGGTTGTGTTAGAATTGTGCACGATTCACTGCATGTTTTAAGATAATCTTAAAAACACAAGAACATCCATCCATTATCTAACCACATGGTCTCTCAACGCCACCTGTCTGGTCATGAAAGCGCAACAGCGACTGTCCTTCCTAAGACGGTTGAAGAAGGCTAAGATATGTCCTCAGATCCTCACTTACTTTTACAGAGGCACTACAGAAAGTACACTGACAGGCTGCATCACAGTGTGGTATGGCAACTGCAGTACTGCTGACCGCAAAGCCCTACAGCAGGTGTTGAAAACTGCCCAGTCCGTCACTGGGGCTGCCCTCCCATCCATACAGGACATTCACGACAGACGGTGCTTGAGGAAAGCTCTAAGCATCATCAAAGACCCCACACACCCCAGCTACAGACTGTACGACCCTCTACCATCAGGAAAACAGTACTGGACTACCAGACTCGAAGACAGTTTTTACCCACCGCACTATCAAGCTATTAAACTCCCAGCCTCTCTCACCTACGATCTGAAACCTCACAGTGCCTTCTCTGTTTATCAAAACTTAAACACACATTGAAATCTACCTCTACCTCACATGTCTAGAAGCTCACTCCCCATCATTTTCTATCCTTAATTTCATTCTGTGGATGTATGATTTTCCACATCTGATGTTTTTCACATTACCTGTTACCTGTTGTTGTTTTGCACATTGCCTGTTGTCTCTTTTTCTTGTACAATTTTATTGTTGTTTTTTTGTACTGCTTACAATCTGAGAGCCAGCTAAATAGCATTTCGTTATACCATATACCTGTATATGAGTATAATGAAAAACTTGAACTTAAACCACTTTATCCACTACAAGGTTGAAAATATTATCCATTTGAGCGATTTAACAAAGAGATTTTAAAAGTCTACGTATGGATTACCACAAAGTAGAAGACTGTGAAAATTGCTGTTGTTTCCAACTGTGTCCTGAAATCAAATGGGTTGAGTTCATCAGTACCTTTGAGAATTATGAATAGTTGTATCGAGTTCTCTAATCTTAAAACAGTTTAATTCCTTGTCTGTCCATGTAGGGCATTCCCTGAATTTATTTTCTTCTCTTGACTGATTCCAGAGCAGCAATCTTTCCGACTTACTTTCTAATCTTACTATTGCATTACACTTTATAATATCCTTTAATTCACTTTCTACATTTTTAACAACATATTCTAACATCTTGTTTTCCCTTTTACATGCTTTCGAACTTTTTCTACAAGATGTAAATGCTGTTTCAACATAAACGCCTAAGTGTTTTTCTTGAGTAGCCTCTTTTCAGTTTTTCAGATTTTGTCGTTACAGTTCAAGGTTCTACTGCCTGCATACAAAACCTATATTTGCCTACATTAAACGCCAACTGCTAGGTGTTTGATCTCTTTTGAACTGAACCCAAATCTTTTCAACTTTGAGCATATTCTAAAAAAAAGTTCTGGAAATGGAAGGAAACTGCTTGTGACAGAAAATCGCACGAGAATATAATCTAAACTGAAAAACGTACAGAGACGAATTAATGAGGCACATACATAAAATATTATTTGTGCTCCGGCGCAATATATTCGCCACTTAGTAGAAGTCAATACTAACGCTCTGTACGTTCAAATCCCAGTCCTTTAGAACTGCGCAAAATACAATTACAAACTACAAAAACAGGGCTACTCACCTTCGTGTCAGAAAAGAGATGTATTAAATTCCCAACAGAGGCGCCAGGAGAGAGAAATAAACTATAAGACTGCCATGAAAAATCACACACAAACACCTCCATCTTGAACAGTACTTCACACTACTATCTAGAACACAACACAGCTCTTCTGCTTCCGGAAAATTCTTGTAAGAGAAGTGCGTCACCGAGTGACGTCACAGATCAACGTCACAGATCGACCCAGTCGAATGCCCAGCCTTGTGTCACGTGACTCCTTCAGCCTCAGTTTTGCACCGCCTATGAGCCCATTTTAAACAATGCTCCTTGAAAATATTATGCATTTTAGCGATTTAACGAATAGGTTTTAAAAGTCTAGGTATGGATTACGACAAAGTAGAAGACTGTGAAAATTGCAAAGC